TTGTGGCGGCTTTTGAATTACAGAATGAAGACGGTGGATGGGATTTACCCATATAACGCCGCAACACCATGTTCTGCACACCTCTCAATTATATTTGCCCGCCTACATTAGGGGAAGGGATGAAGAACAATAATGCATGCGCTCGATCAAGAAAATGGATACTCGATCACGGTACTGTGAAAATGGGTGAAAGACTTGGCTTTCAGTAAATTATCAATTAAAGGAGGCAGTTATTTCTGCTTTCCTATTTCAGATGAAGTATGCTACCCGGTGCCCCCTGAATTTTGCAGTTCATATAATCTCTGCAATTGAGTTTGACAAATCTGGTCATCATCTAGCTACCGGTGACCATGGTAGAAGAGTGGTGCCATTTGAAATGACTAATACAAAAGAGGTGATGTTAAAGGTTCAGTTCATGTTTTATTAGTCATTTGTATTTAAGTCTTACATACGGAAATGAAATTACAGCACAGTGGAAATCAGAGAGATTTGGAGAGGACATATATCAAGTATGCCATCCAGAATTCCGTTACAAAACAGAATTTCAAGTTCGTATTGACCTTCTTTGTGGTTTCTTTGTGAGATAAATATTTAATATATATTTGGGCCGATAACTATATCTTCTTTCTCTAACAATGTTAATTTTAGGCTCCTCCATTATCTTATATTATTTTGTTCTTTACAGTGAGGTACACCTACTCATCTTTGACATTGTTTTTGTGTATTCAAATTTGTCATCAAAACAAAAAAGACACAATATATGTGAGCAACTGCAACTTACGCCAGAATAGAAGCTGCAACAATTTATGACAAATTTTCACAGTAGTTTTAGACTGAATGTTAGGCTTCATCTTTATCAAATATTAACAATGTTTAAAATATATGTGTAAATTCGGCTGAGCATTCAAGAGACGACAAACTTTCACGACAAATTTTTACTGTAGTTTTACACGGGGTGTTAGACCGCCGTGCGTGCACGGCGTGAGAAAATCTAGTATATATATATATATATTTGGATAAAACGTTTTTAATAGATAT